GGGGGCGGGGCGCGGGACCCTTCTGCGGCGGCGGCGACGGGCTCGGCGATCTCTCCTCAGAAACTTGTTGCGCCCGCCGCGCGCCGACGCAAAAGGGCGCGGTGCGGTGGGGTGGGGCTAGGCGGGGCGGGGCGATAAGAAGGCGCGGGCCGAGAGGAGAAAAGTGGTGAGGTCGAGGAGAGGAAAGGGGGTGGCGAGACTCGGCAACTGCAGCCAAAAGCAGCGCTCTGCGGGCCTCTCCACCTCCGCCAGCTAATGAAGACTACGCCGCATAACTTCTTCCTCCACACGAGTTTTCCTTTAGTTTTTATTTTTCCGCGGTTTTATGTAATACATGTTGTTTTGATGTCGTGGAAAAAGTTTACTTTTAAATGGGTCGCAAAGAGTTTTTGTTTCATTTTGATTATTTTATTTTTCGGGAAGCGTTTGTCTAGTGGGTGTGTGTGTGTGTGTATCTGTGAGGGTGTTTTTATTTAATTGTATCCTTTCTTCCATTTTCTCCCCCAGAAAAACAAGGAGACCATGGATCTTTTCGTGAGCAGCTGCAAGATCAACAACAAGAATGGTTAGTATGCCTGGGTGTGCCGGGTGTATCAGGAAGCGAACGGCCTAGTAGGGTTGTTTACTCTGATATACCCGGTGCCCCAATTCACTGTCGAAAAGTGAATTCATGGGGCTCCTGCCAACAAAGACATTTTTTTTTAATTTTATTTTTGATTATTCGCGGGGGTAACGAGCGTTGATGGGCGGGACGAGTCCGAATCCGCGGCTTAATTCCAGAGCGACGCGCCGCTCGACCGGCCGTGCCCTGCGGCGTGGTGGGGGTGGGATTGGGACTGAGGAGGGTGGGGGGATTACCGGGGCTGATATACGTCCCGTCCGCGCCATGTCAGCCAAGAGACAAAGTTGGCGGCTCTCTGTCCGGGTGGACTTTTCAATCCTTTGTTGTGTCCCGGCGACGGGAGGCAACACGGCGACCTGTCCTCACAACTGACAGCCTCGCCCACACTTTGTCCGCCAGGCTACACGGAGGCCACGGCACCGGGGACGCCGTCGTCGCCGTGCACCACGCCGACGGTGACGAGCCGGAGATCAGCCAGCCCGGACGAGCCGGACCCGGCCAAGCCCATCACCGATGTGAGTGCTCAGCGTCCCTCCCCTAGCCGGGCGCGCGTCACCTGCCAGCCTTGTGTAAAAAAAAGCGCGGCGCCTTCTCGGCCGCCCCTCTGTACCGTCGGCAGGCCCCCGGCGCGCAGGCCATCCGCATCGGCTTCGTGCTGCGCCACCTCCTGGCCGCCGGCTTCGCGCCCGACTCGCTGCGCGGCGCCCTCACCCTCGACGGCCAGGTCATCTTCGCGCGCGGGCGCCGGGCGTGGACCGGCTCCGACCTCGTGGACTGGCTCATCGAGGTGTCCGGAGGGCTGGTGCGCTCGCGGCAGCAGGCCTGCGCCATGTGGCAGTGCCTGCTCGAGGAGGGCGTCATCGTGCACGGTGAGTTACACGTCTGTGAGAGCCCGCGGGCGGGTTTCGAACTCGTGGGAGAGTGACCTTGAGATGACTCCCAAAGACTTCGGGAGGAGCGGCTCAAAGAGTCGTCTCAAGGTTGTTGATGCGGTAGTTTATACCTCCCTAATTGGGAATTGGGTGACACTTGGTTAGACGCGTCGATTAGGCGAGAATCGTTGACTTGTGTTAAGTGTTCTTGCCCTTTACGTACTTCACCGGAGTTTCCCTCACCCGATAAGTCCCGTGGAAGTCGTGCGTCTCAGACGACGGTCTCCATGAGCGGCTAGAGGTGCCGGCCCCAAGCCAAGCGATAGCCGTGGACAAAGTTTCGCCCAGCGGCACCGCGACCGCGAGTAGACTTGCCCCTCTCCCCCCTCCTCCATCTCTCTCGCTCTATCTGTTTCTCTTTTCCTCCGTTCGCCCGGCTGCGACAGCCAGCGAGGAGAGGCAACCCCCGCGAAGCGTTGCGCCCCGTGAATGTCATACAACTCCGCGACGGGTAATTCTGTCGTTCTGCGTCGCCTCCTCCTCCCTCCCCCTCCTCCCCCCGGGGCGTCGCGCTCCCCGCCGCCGCCGCAGCTCAGCCCGCCGGCACTTGCGGCATTATGTTGAACAAACGCTGCTAAACTATGAGGATTACCACCGAGCGACTTGCCGAAGTACGTGACGCTCATTAACGAGGCGCGCCCGCCCCGCCGCGCCCCGCCACGCCCTCAGGGACTCGCCCATCACAACCGTCAGGTGAACAGGTTATCTTGCCCCCTCCCCGCGATCACCCTGTCGCTTTTTCCTCCTACGACGGTGTATCGATGAGGCCACGCGAAAGACCTTATTAAAATAAAAACAATAAGAAGAAGAGCCGCTCGGCGCGCGGCGTGTCCCCGCCGATACCCCGCGCTGCCAACAGGCGCCCGCGCGGCATCGCGGGGCCGCCGACGATGAAGTAGTGAAGGTCAGGTGCGCAGGCGGCGGCCCCGCGGGCGCGAGCAGCGGGCGCTCCCGCACCTGCAGACGTCACAAACGCGCGCGCCCGGCCCGCACCTGCAGCCGTCACACGCGCGCGCGCGCGCGCTATCGAGACCGCCTGCTTTGCCGTTGCGTCTTCCATCCCCACCGCGGTGCTGCGCCGCTCGATTCTCACGGCGTCCTGGCTCTGAATTGCGGCCCGGATCCGCGCAAAGGCAGCGGCAGCAGCAGTGGCTCCGTAGCAGCCGCGAAGGGGCGGCCTGGGGAGCCGAAGGGTACTTATCGAGGCACTTTGCCTTTCACGCTCGCTTGCCGGCCGCGCAGCGTTGGTGTTCAAAGAAGCAGGAGCAGGCAAAGCTTCAACTTCAACCAACCCAAGTCCGCCCGCGCCTCACGCACGCGGCCATGCAAAGCAAGGTGAACCGGGAAATACGTCCGCGGCCTTATAATCGAAACGATATTCAGCGGGTCTTTGGGGCCTGTTTTTATTGGGCCTATTATATTTGTTTTCCTTTCAAAGTTGTTGGAGTTGAGCCTCGGGGTCTAGCACCTTG